GAAATAAATGCCACTTTTTATTATTTCTAAATTTTATAGATTACTCTGACTTATGTGAAAAAGTCTTCCTATTTACAAAGAGACAGTAGACTGGCCATGCTCAAATTACTGGATCATAATCTTAAAGCTAGAGGAGACTTTAGTCAACATCTAGCCTAAATTCTTTTGTTTTATGGGAGAAAAAAACTTTGGTTCATGGAGATTAAAAGGACTTGGTCACACTCAATGAGCTAATTTGAGTATCAGAACTGAAACTAGAATTCAGGCTTTCTAATTCCCAAGCCAGTGGTTTTTCACCCACATAGGCCACTTAAAACCATTAGAGCTTAGCTCTCTTAGATGAGAATTAGTTAATCTGCCTCAGAAAGTTCTAAAGCCTAACTGTCCCTAATGGGTTGTTTTGCTTTCACATACTTTTATTAGAGAAAACACCTAAGTAATAACCTAGATGCTGATGTTGTGGTTTTATTGTCACAAACTAGGAGTGGTCTTAACAGACGATCTTATCCTTCCTAATTAACTATTTTTGGAAAGATTGACCTTAAATAACTACTCTAAAATTAAAACTTGTTTCTTGAGATGGCATCCAGAATTTATTTACTTCATTGCCAACAATTCCGTGAAAGTTTGAACATTTTGTTACATGGGGGTATATTTTGCAACTTCTGAATGATAATTGGTTTTTCAGAAAGATAATATTCCTCAAAATTATGTTTCATGGAAATGTTAAAGAAGTTTCTCTGTGCCTACGGTAGTTAATTGTTCCTTTCTACTTTGAAACATTTCCAGTCCGACCATCTTGGCCATGTTTAGGAGGCATAGGATTTAGGGGTTTTCATCCTTGTACTAGTTTAAGGCTTTTATGTAATAAGTGATAGAAAACCCAATGCATTCTCTCTTATGCAAAAAAATGGCTCATATACTTCAAAAAGTCCAAGAGTAGTTCAGACTTGAGACACATAGGACATAATCAGGACTCACGGGCCACCTGGGTGGCTCAGTCATTAAGCGTCTGCCTTCGGCTCAGGTCATGATCCCGGGGTCCTGGGATCGAGCCCCGCATAGGGCTCCTTGCTCAGTGGGAAGCCCGCTTCTCCCTCTCCCTCTACCCTGCTGCTTGTGCTCCCTCTCTCTGTGTCTCTCCCTGTCAGATAAATAAAATCTTTTTTTAAAAAATCAGGACTCACTTCTGAACATTTTGCCTTCTCCTGTCATGAGTGTCACATGGCTATGTCAGCTCAAGCATCACATCCTTAGCATCAAGCCTCCTTACGAAAGTCCCTGGCAAAAGTATCTGACTGACCACATATCCAGCCCTGAACCAATCACCAGGGCCGTGGAATATGAGATACTGACTGACTTAAACATAGGTCACAAACTTCACCCCAAGTCAGGTGTGGTCAGCTTCACCAGAATGACATGGACTAAGAGTTGGAAACAGAAGAGTTCCTCAGAGGGACATCTGAGTGAAATTAGCCGAAGTGGAATGAAGAAAGCAGAAATAACAGATGTCCATGACACCATCCCTGGATTCATGCACTAGAACTCTTAGCTTCCTAAGAAGAATCCTAACTGCCCTTGGGTCTCCTCCATGAAGCCAGAGCAGAGAGAGCTAGCTTTCCCCCAGCCTGAAAAGAGGTAGTCTTTGGCCAAATTGCACGACACTGGGATTTCTCCCTGGGTCTAGGTGTAGCCCTCTGAAACTTGTAACATCTATAAACTTGTCTGGTTTGTTGGCTTGCACACAAATGAGCAAGTTCACACATGTATTAGCATAAGCAAAAGTGTTACTTAGCTCCAAGGACTTGGGTACAGAGGTGTGGGGATCCACCAGGAAAGAGACTCAGCTAGCAGGGGGAGTCTCTGTCATGTCGGTCTGAGGAACAAGGCCCATCTATGCAGTTGGGGAGGGCCTCAGATCTGGTGCTTTCAAGATAGGATGATAGTATGCTTTATTGTCCAAACAGGACGCTTCTCTGACCGAAGAGGGGCCCTCGCAGGCATAAACTGGAACTCTGCCAGGCAAACTGGGGCATCTTTCTGGGCGTGAGGCACCAGTGAAACTAGCATAATGATGCTCATGGGAACATATTCAACGTAAGGTACATAGTCCATGCTCACAGAGTACGTCCAAATATAAACTCATTTATAGCTTTAAACAACTGTCCTAGTGGGTTCAGTGTCTGGGCACACCTCAGAGTATCTGTCATAGGGTTTATCATCAGGACGTTTCTGTCTGAACACCTCACAGTATCATCTTTATTTCTTTTTAAGTTTATTTAAATCTCTACACCCAACGTGAGGCTCAAAATCACGACCCAAGACCACAAGTCACTGGTCCTTCCGACAGAGCCAGCCAGGAGCCCCCACAGTATCATCTTTATAAGATCCTTGTGAGAATTTCTTACCTGATCTTAGCATCAAGAATTCTTCCTGGAGCGCCTGGGTGGCTCGGTCGTTAAGCGTCTGCCTTCGGCTCAGGTCATGATCCCAGGGTCCTGGGATTGAGCCCCGCATCGGGCTCCCCCTGCTCTGCGGGAAGCCTGCTTCTCCCTCTCCCACTCCCCCTGCTTGTGTTCCCTCTCTCGCTGTGTCTCTCTCTGTCAAATAATTAAATAAAATCTTTTAAAAAAAAAACAAAGGATTCTTTCTGAACCTGGATTTAATGCGAATGGTGGATCTGACCAGGTTTCTCTTTCTGCCTCGCCTACTGAGAAGCTTAAAGATAAATGTGTGGACTACCAAGGGAGCATGCTGGTCATTGTGGCTTCATTCCACTCCACCCCTGGGCTTCTTCCATGTAACTTTTCCTTTACATGATCTTGAACCTTAGGTTTTCTTGTAAGTCACCTCAAGTTCCCTTAGTAAAAGATAAATATTCCCCAATCCAACTGCCTGTGGGGGTGGGGTGGCCAGCTCTTCAGCTGACTCCTTAAGTGTTTCAAAAGAATGTCGACCCTGCAGTCTGATTGTGTTGACCTTGCAATTGCATGGATCTCTAACAAACCAATCAGCAGGGAGAAAACAAGACAACTGAATTTCAACACTATTTGATGATACTGGGAAATTTTTATTAAAGTTGTTTAGGTAGGATCATGGTATTGTGGTTGTTTTTAAAAGGGAGTTGTTTTTTGTTTTGATCTTTTACAGATACATACTGAAATATTTACAGCCAAGTTTGCAATGGTTAAGTCTGACATTAGACATATAAGGAAATAGTAATTCTCTCCCAGGAAGGGGCAACCATTTTTGAACCAAATAGTCTGCCCTACTCATCCTCCCCTCCCCTGGGAACAGGGCCAATAATGGACATTGTAAACAAGGACCCAGCTCACCCTGATGCAGGTGGTCCTCAGACCTTATCTTCACCAGCTATGCCCTGGAATGATATTCTTTCCAAACTCGAATGCCCGAAAAGCTTTGTTCACTCTAAGAGACCTAGCCATTTCCTTGGGATCCCATATTTCTTTTGTTCTAATTTCTAATCATTGGCAACACCTTTTAAGTTTCAACTCATCAGTGTATTGACTGCCACTTCTCAACGTACACCCTGTGCTGCCTCCACCCTCCCGCAGAGACTCGTACAACCAAGTCCTGGACTCCCAGTCTAAAAAACCTGTGTTCCACGCCTATGTCACCCTTTACCAGCCTTGCGACCTAAAATATGCCACTGCATCTGAGCTTCTGTTTCTCTGCTCGATTATTGGGAATAACAGCTGTCCCAGCACTACTTTGTTGCGAGGGTCAAAGACAGAACATAGGAAATGATCTAAATCTGCAACTGGTTTCAACCAACTATAAGTTTGTGTGAGGCTTAGGACCGAGTTGTTTACAACCGGACATGAACTGGATGTCTGGCCGGCTTCACAGCCCAGACTAAGGCACGAACCCAGCAAATAACCAGCCTGGGGACCATCAGGGAGGCCCAGGGCACGCATGAATACCCACAGGCATGCTCATGATCCAGTGCATCAGCATGTGCCTATGTGGCAGACGATACCCTCCCCTGTGACAGATCTTTCTTGCTTTGGCCAAATCAGAAGGAGGAGGCCACCCTTTAATTCTCTTCCTTTGGTCGGTCCACACAAACGAGACTGGACAAAAACAGGATTCCACAGCCATACCAACCCTGATTAGCAGGGTGTAGAAACCAGTTGCATGGCCTGCCACCGGACCTGGAATCTGGGATAATTGTCAGTGTCCTCTTCTGCCACTACTCCAGGATATGAGATTGCTAAATCATTGTCAATACACCCATCTGATGAAATTAGGCCCATGGCGCCACCAGAGTTAATACTAGGGCTGAATCCAGGAACGCACACAAAGGCCGCCTTTGGCAGCGCAGCAGAGAACCAAGTTTCTTGTCTAAATAGCTCAAGCTTTTCCTGTGAAGAAAAGACAAGCAGAGAGAGGCACATGAAAAGACCTGCAGTTGCTGGCAAGTTCCCTCCTTCAAACTATACAGATAGTAACACCAACATTCCTATCACTAAGGAGGGCACGACCCTGACACTTATTTTACGTCTTCTAACTTTTAAGTGGATATTTTCTCTTTTAACAGTTTGGATCATCTACTTCTTCCCCATCCCAACACTATTAAAAAAATACAAAAACAAAAACCCTGCAAAAATAGCTATTACATGTATTTACTTGTGACACACTCCAGGGTTAAAGAGAAAAGTGCCAGAGGGGAAAAATATTACCCGCGCAATCACCACACAAAAGTTGTTTATATTTATTTAATGCTAAGAACATAGATATCCTAAAGAAGACACAGATGACAAGGAAGTTTCTTCTTAAACAGGATTTTGATCATAAAAACTAGTCATGCAAATCTCTAAAACAGAAGAGCACACATATCTAGAAAAATACAAAATGTATTTTCTCTTTTACCTGAATTAACCTGAGAACCCCTAAACACTCTCTTTAAGAGATACCAATATTAAAGTCGTGCAAAGAAACTGTACCCATAGTGTTTCAACCATAAAACCAACACCTGGTTTATACATGACAAAAATAAGATAAAGGCATGTAAAAGAATGTGCAGTTTATAGAACTCAGAGAAAATCGGGGTGACCAAAGATCGGGTGAACAGGCTGCAAAGCAGGGTGCTCGGGGGACGGGTGCTGAATGCTGAGTGGTCACTGATAGGAGGGATACAGTGCGATATCTCTCACAGCCAGCAGATTCACTGAGGCCCTGGTAACGTTTCCGGGATGAAAACCAAGGTACTTCTCAGTCAGGAATGTTCTCCTGGAGAGCATGGCCAGCATGTGGTTGAGCCGGGACCTGATGCCAGCAAAGTGAAACTGGCGCTCTTGATTCAAGTTCCTAAAGGAGTCTTGCAAGCACAGATCCAAGCGGGGGGCGCCCCAGAACTTGGAATGTCCAGCGCGGACAAAGTCAGTGGCTCTGCTGGACGCCTGGGAACCCAAGGAGCTCGCCACGGAGCCCTGCGAGGACAGAGAGGAGGAAGATCTCAAACTGGAAGATCTTGACACAGACATCCTGGACACTGGTGACCCTTCTTTAGACTGGGTGCCCTGAGAAAAGAGAACGTTCTCATCCACATCAGTCTGGGTGGTGGCCGACGTGGACCGAACCACGGTTTGGGAGCTCGCCACCCTGGTGGTGACTGCGGTCTGGGTCCCGGCACACGTCGTCACGGCGCTGGCCTGGGTCCCCGCATCACTCACGCTCACTGCTGGTGCCTCCTCTCCTGCCTCCGTCTGAGTGGCGGCATCGGTCATCCTCCCGCCCTCTAGTTTGTCCCTGCGGCTGTTGAAGTCGTCCTTGTCACTGATAGTGGAGGACTCCGAGTCATGGCGCCTGGCCTCTGCCCTGCCCTCAGTGGGCGCCTCGAACCCCAGCTCAGCCTTCTTGGGGGTGCTTGAGAGCCGGGCCAGCCGCAGGCGCAGCAGGCTGCCCAACGTGAGCTCCTTCGACAGAGGCTTCGGGTCGACTAGATGGTCAAACTTGCCGCTGATCCGGAAGTTGGACAGCAGCTTGGAGCTGATGGGCTTCGACTGTGCGTACAGGATTCGGAACTCCAGATCAAAGTGTTCAACCACTTGGCCAGACAGGATGACCAAGTTACTGCTATTTAATTTGCCATCCGTCCACGTAAAACTTAAGGATTAAAAACAAACAAACAGAGAAGCTAGTAAGGATGAGCAGTCAGTCTCCTTACTGTTTACTTACTGTCAAACTGAATAATAAAGCCCAGATACTCTGCTCCAGGAGTCACAGCTCTGGCGACAGCATACCTACCAGGTGGTGTAAATTCAACCAGCCTTACCCCGGGGTCTGACATACGTATGCATTCAGAGAAGTAAAAAGGCCAGCTCTTTAACCAACACGCGAAGACCCACACCTCCTCAGTCTCGGAGTTTCTAAAAACTAGAAAGGGCTTTAAAAATATTCAGGCCAGGGCTCTCACTTCAGAAGTGAGGAAACGAGCTAGCGATGTCCCAGTGGGAAGCTGGTGGTTGACCCTAGACTAGACCCGAGTCCTTAAGATTGCCAGTGCTCTGCTCCTCCAATACTGTCATTTTCAAAGGGAGACAGTACTGTCATTCTAAGGATGGTGCTGTTGCTCCGAGCACATTCCGAGCTCATTAGTGGCCATGTGCCCCTGCCTGTCCAGCATCCCTTCTCCTTCCTCTAGTGATAGAACCCCACCCACCCCCAGCCAAAGGGCGTTCCTTTATGCATCTTCTCCAATCACAACAGGGGTGGACATATGACCCAGGCTGGCCACCAGAGTATTCCATTCCCTTGGGTCGGGGATCTACCCAGGGTGGGCACGTGACCTAGCGAGGACCAAGGAGTTTTTCAAGGACTGATGCCAGTGCAAACAGAAAGAAAGTCTCTCTCTTTGGGAGATAGCTACTAAAGGCTATGTAAGTAAGCCTGGATCTTTGCCTTCAAAGGGATAAGCCTGACTGAGAATAAAGATCAGCTAGAGAAAAGCAGAACCAGGGGACAATATTCTGATAAACATATGCCCTCCAGGTCAAGACAAGCTGAAAACCAACTGCACCTTTCTACACTTCCAAGTTATGGGACTCAATAAATTCTATTTTGCATAAAGTAGATTGAGCTAACTTTCTGCACTCGCAGTCACCCCACTGATAAATAAGTTTGTATGAAGAATAGGATGTTTTAAAGGAGATCATAACACATAGTGTCAACTCTGTCTCTGGCAACCAAGATTCCTTGCTGATGCAAATCCTACCTTAAGAACTGCCTTCAAAGCCAGAGAAGAAAGATTCTTTTGAAAACCCTCAATGAGGGTTGAAATGGAAAACCTTCAATCATGCAGACAAGACACCTACCCAACACCAGGATTATGAAATGCCTTCAACAAATAGAAGCTACCATCTTCATCCTTATCCTCAATGGTAGTGTATTTTTTTTAGAGAGAGTAATGTAATTTTTATATTTTATATTTTAGAAGATCCAAAAACCATTTGAGACTAAGTTTGTATAATGTAGATAAAGCCTATTTTGGATGAAAATCCAGTTTCTTCCAGTTATTTATGAACATCTCATGAAAGGAGGTCTCAAGGAAGAGCGTAAATTTTGCTCTGAGCAATGACGGTACTGTCTGCAAGGACAGGCGTCGTGAGTTTGCAGATCTGACCACCTCAGCTTCTACAATCCTTTCCATGTCCGCCTTTACCCAGGGCTGACACATCATCACCACCCAGAGACACATGTGTCTTCAAAAAGGAGCTTCTCTTTTCTAAGCTCAAGACATACCTCATGCCTACCACCAGACAATCTAACACACAGACACACCCCATCAGATCCGCCCAAGTAAACATGGTGTATCTTAACTTCTGGAGATCCGTGTGAACCACTATTCTCTCCACCCTCTTCAACATCCCAGCACCCTAGCATAAGGTGTCAGTGCCAAGGTGATTCTCCAAAGGTGGGCCAGAAACAGGGACCAGGGCTTTCCAGACTAAAGCATTGGGCTACAAGGCTTGAAGGAAGGTGAAGGACTTACGCGTAAGGTGACAGCTTCAGCTCTGCCCTCCACTGATGCTGAGGCCTGTGACTGCCCTTACCTGCAAGTGAGCAGGGACGAGGGACAGGGGGAGGTCAAGGGCCCCAAGGAACAGGATCTGAGACTGCTCCTGTCACTGGTAACCCCTGGTTCAGCCACGGCAGGCCTGGCCGAGGCTGGAATCGACTCATCCACCGGGGGTCTCCAGGCAAGTTTCACATCTGCACTTTAGTTTTGTGGCCCATAGGGCGGGGGTGGGGGGGGTGTGACCCCACACCCTGACCACCTCCTGCAGGAGGAGGCTCTGAATGATATACTCACACCCACAGATGCACACCTACCGGAATGCTTGGCCACAAAGACTCGCATTGAGAGGAAAAAGCAGCTTTTACCTTTATATAGCAAGCACGTTCTACAAAGGTTAGGGTAGCAAACATGGGCAGGCTAGAGACTTACCTATAGGAGCCTGTAGCCACTCGAATGCCATCAATCAGTGTGAACTTTTCATGAACCTGCCCAACTATCTTAGTTCCCGACCTTGCATAGTAAATACTTCCAGTAATGGTCCGAACGGTCATCAGCTGTCGGCAGGGAATGGGAGAAAAAGAAACAACAGTCCAGTGAGCAAATGATAAAGAGGGCTTGGTTTATAATTCCCCAATAGACGCACTCATTGGCAAAGGAGTGGTCCCCAGGCCCCTTCAGGAACACCATACAGGGCACATGAGCCAACAGTGTTCAGAACTCAAGGAATGCGACCTCACTAAGTCCATCTTCTTGTGAGCCCTTTGATCACACTGATTTTTGAGACTCTTGGTCCTTGTGTACATGTGCTTGAAAAGAAGACTCACTGTTGGGGATATGACACAACAGAATCCAAGAAGTGATTTTGAAACAAAACGTGGGGGATAAAATCATCAAAGAAAACACGCTAGTAATAAATATCATTTTAACAAAGGCTTAAAGAAGCTAACCTGCTATTTCTCCTACTTTTTTATTTAACAGCATCAGTAATGAGTAATAATAGCCCATCTTCACTTACCCCACACCATGAGTCTGGAGATCAGGACAAGCCTTCTCTAACATGGGACTTCTGAGGCTGAAACACTCATATCACAAGGGGCTTAATCAGCAATGTCACATCTCTTGTAAGAATGAATTTACCAAAAGGGCACCAACATACTGGGGCCTCATGGTGCATATGTGGGCATAATTATCCTTGTAAAATGATGCATGGAAACATATATCCAATGGTATGTAAAGTACTAAGACCATCTGCATTCTTTGGGGCAAATCAGCACTGAGTAAACTATATACCTTTAGAAATCTTAACATGATTCAAATGAAATGTTTAAGATATTTGTTCGACCCTCTCCTTCATTCCATAAACAAAGAAAGCCCCTACAATGTGCTGAGCCTTGAGACAACAGAGATATCTGGCATGCCCCTTATCTTTAAGGACTAGGAGAGAGGAAAGTAATGCAGGATGAAAAACCGCAACAAGATAGGACATCATCCAGAGAAGTGAAAACCTACAACTACACAAAAACCTGTGCACAAAGATCCATAGCAACTCTCCTCATAATAGCACAAAACTGGAAGCCATCCTAAAGCCCTTCAGTGGGTGACCGGTTAAACAAACCATGGGACAACCATACCCCATGACACAACTCAGCAGTAGAAACAACAAACTACGGATACACACAACAATTTGGGCGGATCTCAAGGGCATTGTGCAGGACAAAAAAAGCCAATCTCAACAGGTTACATAGTGGGGCACGTGAGTGGTGCAGTCAGTTAAGTGGCCAACTCCTGGTTTCAACTCAGGTCATGATGTCAGTCGTGAGATCGAGCCCCACGTCCAGCTCCATGCTGAGTGCAGACTCTGCTTCAGAGTCTCTCTCTCCCTCTCCTTCCGCCCCTCCGCCCCTTGCTTGCACACATATGTGTGCGTACTCTCCCTCTCTAAAATAAATCTTAAAAAAAAAAGTCACATACACTATGATTCCATTTATAGAACATTCTCTAACTGACAAAACTATAGAGATGGGGAACAAATTTTTTTTTTTTTTTAAGATTTTATTTATTTGACAGAGGGAAAGACAGCGAGAGAGGGAACACAAGCAGGGGGAGTGGGAGAGGGAGAAGCAGGCTTCCCGCCGAGCAGGGAGCCCGATGTGGGGCTCAATCCCAGGACCCTGGGACCATGATCTGAGCCGAAGGCAGATGCTTAACACCGACTGAGCCACCCAGGCGCCCCAGAGATGGGGAACAAATTACTGGTTGCCAGGGGTTAAAAATCGGGAGGAAGGCACAGAGAGGGGAGCAGATGGGACCATAATGGTAGCAAGAGGGAGATCATTGTGACAGGACAGTCCTGTATTGTGATGGTGGGGGCAGGTACACATGAGTCCATGTGTGATGAAATGGCACAGAACTACAGACACACGTTGCACCAACCCCAATTTCCAGGCTTTGATTTTGTACTCTAAGTTACTCAAGATGTAACCGCTGGGGGAAACTGGGTGAAGGACACGTGGAACCCGCTATCTACCTTTGCAGCTTCTGTGAATCTGTCATTATTTCCAAATACAAACAAAAGCCAAAACACAACAGTATGGTATGACATAACATCCCTTCTGTGGTCTTACCAAAACACATATCTGAATTTGACCATGAGGCAATGTCAGACAAACCCAAATTCTACAGAAAACTGGCTAGTGTTCTCTAAAAGCATCAAGACCCTAAAAGACAAAGGAAGACAGAGGAACAGTTCCAGATGAGAGGATGCTAAGGAGACATGACAACCCAATGCAAGATATGGTCCTGAGTTGGATCCTGGACAAGAAATAGGGCATTTGTGGAATGATCAGTGAAGTTGATAAGGTCTGTAAATGAGATAACAGTATTGTATCAAATTTATTTCTCAATTTTGAAATTGCACCGAGGTTTATAAGATGTTAACATTTAGACAGTCTGGGCAAGGAGTATTCAGGAATTCCCTACATTTGGGGGCACCTGGCTAGCTCAGGTGGTAGAGCCTGTGACTCTTGATCTCAGGGTTGTGAGTTTGAGCCCCATGTTGGGCATGGTGCCTACTTAAAAAATAAAAAACAAATTAAAAAAAAAAGGAATTCCTTATTTTTGTAACTCTTGTAAATTGAACTGCTTTAAAATAAAATTAAACAAACAAAAAAGCTTAGGAACTTCCAAAAAGTTGTACACATACATGGAACAGGCAGGGGCGGGGAGGGCAGGGCACAGTTGGGGGCAGCTTCCTGGAGGAGATGCTAATTCCTGATCCAACCTTTAAGGATCAACATATAATAAACAAGCATTAAAAAATATCACTATGGGTACATTTTGGTGTGGTTTTGTACATATTTCCCTTTGGCACTTACCTGAATGTCGTACAGGCCCCTGTGATTGTGGCCAAAGCACTTTTGAGTGTCTACACACAAATACATGACCAAGTTCCGACAGACAGGACACCCGCTCAGAACCAGCCACGGAGCCAGGGCGGAGGTCAGCCCCACTGGGTGAGGGACAGATTCACCAGCAGATGCGCCCGGGTGAGAAGCCACCAGAGAAGATGGTGCTTCTCTAGGAAGAAGTTAAGACACTAGAAAATTGCTGAAGCCAAAGGTACAGACCTTTCAACTCTTCCCTCGGGCAACATTCAACAGTGTACAACCAAGTCGGTAGGTAATGCTAGATTTCCGCGGAGTGCATGGGTTGCAGCCAATGTCCCGATCAGAGCTGAGGCCAGAGCCACGCTGTGAGATTCCTGCTGCTGACTCACAGCCTTAGTTTCAGACAGAGAGCCTCGGAGTTCCACAGGGTCATCCTGCATTGCTTCACCGGGCCCTAGGTAAGAGCCGGCACAGGCTGGATGTCTGGCTAGATGAGAACGTGCTTTTCCGTGCCCGACATGCATTTTCCTGGGGCCCCCCTGACCTCCTGTTTCAGCTAGTGCTGGGTCACGTGGCTGGACCATTTCATTCTGGCTCCAAGCTCCAATTCTACCACCACCGTGAACATGAATATGCTCTGTAGCTGCAGCAACCAGTAACTACCTAATTAAACCCAATCCTCAGGTTCCTCATTAGGGAAAACCACCCCCGGGAACTCTGCGGGGGACAGTAAATGGTGACATTTTGTAGACCAAGTTACTTGTTAATAACAAGGTGGCAAGCTGACGTTCATTACGCAAGGAGCCTACAGTACCAAAGCCCAAATTCCTAGTTCGGTTTGTTTACTGCTTTCTTTCCAGTACCTAGAATAGTAAGTGGCTCAGAGAAGGTGCTCACATAGGTGATGAACCAAGTGGATGAATTAAGTCCCGAAGCACGGCTCACATTAAGATGCTTGATTTAGGGGCGCCTGGGTGGCTCAGTCGTTAAGCGTCTGCCTTCGGCTCAGGTCATGATCCCAGGGTCCTGGGATCGAGTCCCGAATCGGGCTCCCTGCTCCGCGGGAAGCCTGCTTCTCCCTCTCCCACTCCCCCTGCTTGTGTTCCCTCTCTCACTGTGTCTCTCTCTGTCAAATAAATAAATAAAATCTTAAAAAATATATTTAAAAAAAAAAAAAGATGCTTGATTTAAAAAGATGAATAATAAATACGATGATTTTTCTTGCCTCTTTCCACTACAGAGAATCGGCTAGCTGACTTATATAACCTTACATTTAAATACTTACGCTCAAATTTTTTTTAAAGGTTTTATTTACTTATTTGACAGAGAGACAGTGAGAGAGGGAACATAAGCAGGGGGAGTGGGAGAGGGAGAAGCAGGCTTCCCGCCGAGCAGAGAGCACCCCAAGCTCAAATTATTTTCATGCTCAGAGCAAAGGATATAAAAAGCCTAATTTTATAAGAATGAGAACCAAGGGGCGCCTGGGTGGCTCAGTCAGTTAAGCGTCTGCCTTCGGCTCAGGTCATGATCCCGGGGTCCCGGGATCGAGCCCCGCATCGGGCTCCCTGCTCGGCGGGAAGCCTGCTTCTCCCTCTCCATCTGCCTGCCACTCCCCTTGCTTGTGCTCTCTCTCTCAAATAAACAAAATCTTTAAAAACAAGAACGAGAACCGAGAGCAGCACATGAAGGTGATCAGGAACAGCCGGGCAGGAGGCGGGCAGGTGCACTGATGGGGAGTCACACCCTCGGCCCACTCCTTTCTCCTGGTCGACGCTGGGCTCTCTATGCCACCACTTCGGAGCTGAAACAGGGCTGCGGTGAGGACTGAGTCACATAACGTTTGTCAGAAGCCTAGGGCACTGCCAAGGACAGAGCAGGGGCTCTATGAGTGGAGGGCCTGCCGGCGCCGCTGTGAAAAGCAGCACCTTCAAGACAGCCTCCTGCTGCCAAGAGCTGAGCTCCTAGTTAGGACGGAGCGGGACATGAGGGGCAAGCCAAGGTTTGAGTCCTGACTCTGCGGTTTCTTTTTTTTTTTTTCCTAGTCACGGTGGTAATTTATTTTTATTTATTTATTTAAATTCCATTAACATGGATAATAACTAGTATATTATTAGTTTCAGAGGTAGAGTTCAGAGATTCATCAGTTGCATATAACACCCAGTGCTCATTCCATCACGTGCCTTCCTTAATGTTCATCACCCAGTTCCCCCATCTGCCTACTCCCCTCCCCGCCCAGCAACCCTCAGTTTGTTTCCTATGATTGAGAATCTCTTATGGTTTGTCTCCCTCTCTGGTTTCATCTTATTTTATTTCCCCCTCACTTCCCCTGTGTTCATCTGTTTTGTTTCTTAAATTCCACATATGAGCGAAATTATATGATAGTTGTTTTTCTCTGATTGACGTATCTCGCTTAGCATAATACCTTGTAGTTCAATCCACGTTGTTGCAAATGGCAAGATTTCATTTTTTGATGGCTGCTAATATTCCATTGTGTATATATACCACATGTTCTTTATCCATTCATCTGTCGATGGACATCTGGGCTCTTTCCACAGTTTGGCTATTGGCTGTTATGAATACTGGGGTGCACGTGTCCCTTCAGACCCCTACATTTGTATCTTTGGGGTAAATACCCAGTAGTGCAATTGCTGGGTCACAGGGTAGCTCTATTTTTAACTTTTTGAGGAACCTCATACTCTTTTCCAGAGTGGCTGCACCAGCTTGCCTTCCCTGTGGTTTCTTTTCTGTGAGATTTCAGGCAAATGGCTTTGCTCATGGCCTCAGTTGCCTCTCCTGTCATGGGGATCCCCCGCCCACCACCATACAGACAATGTAGGTCTCGGACGCTCAGTCATTACTGCTGATTGTGGGGAGACTGGAAACGTGTAACACAAACCTTCTCCTGCTCAGGATGCACTTTCAGATCCATGCACATATCCAAAAACTGCGAAAGCAGAGCCTGGTCCAGAAGGATGTAGACAGCAACTCCCTGTTTCCGACTTATTTCCTGCAGGTCCCTGAAGATGTCAATGTCCGTGAAAACATCCATCACCACGGCGATCACCTACAGAGTGAGGCAGCAGAGGGAAGAGCAAGCGGTCAGCTCATGGGAACACCAGCTTACAGCTCACTGTGCAGACTCTGGAGCCCACCTCAGAGCCAGGAAAGGATCCCTGCCCTACAGCACCCCTCCCCTCCCCTCTCTTTTCCTTCTGCACTGTTTGCCCCCAGCCGCAGACACTTCCATCCCCAAAGACACGCAGGCCACTGTACCCTACACATCTGGACTTGGCCCAGCTGAGCCTCCGACCGACTCCCAGCCACCATCCTCCGCACCGCCCTGGACCAGTCCTTTCTTCTCCCCAGCAGCACGGCTCCATTCATGCCTGCTGTCCAACCTTGCACACTCAGCATCAGACTACAGTTCACAGCTGCCTCAGCCACACAGCCCGGGGCAAATTACAGTCATTTCCAAGGTCTGGTCCTGAGTCTGCAAAATAGGTGTGTAGCCAGAACTAAATGACTATGTTACATGACGTGCAAGGTACAAAGGATCCCTCAAGTATATGTTCGTTGATTCCCCTCACCAGTCCAGAGTCAGAGTGTCCGGATACTTCAACACAGGGAGACATCTGCCAGAGCCTAGCTTTCCTTGCCGGAGACAGGCCACTCCAGGCACCAAGCCTCTTGTCATACCCTCTGCAGTTTAAGAGCGGGGCCCTCAGTGAGGGTGGGGGGTGTCAGAACGTGCAGCCTTAGCACAAGCCCCTGAAAACCAGGCCAGAGCTGGGCCTCCCTGAGCCACCGTTAGGAGCAGCCTGGGCTGGAAGCAGGTCTCCCTCCTCCTCACTTCAACAGCAAGAACTTGTGTCTCTCAGTACCACATTAACTCCTTTTCTGAACGTTAAGGTAATTTATTTACAGGTCTCACATCTTCTATGGGAACGGAGGCCTTGGAACAGGATGGATTTGGCTCTGTGCCCCAGAGGACTCAAGACAGCACCTGACGGTCATGGCCCCTTAAGGAGGTAGGGGTTCAAGAAGCAACACAGAGACAAAGAGGAGATTCTGGGGGTGCCTGGGTAGCTCAGTCAGTTAAGCGGCTGCCCTTTAGCTCAGGTCGTGATCCCAGGGTCCTGGGATCAAGTCCCACATAGGGTTCCCTGCTCAGTGGGGAGTCTGCTTCACTCTCCCCTTCCCTCCTGCTTGTGCTTTCTCTCTCTCTCAAATAAATAAATAAAATATTCAAAATATTCAAAAAAAAAAGAGGAGATTCTATGGTCTTTCTCCAACATTCCAATCTCACCTACCAGGATGAGGGACCATGAAACACCAGCTCCCAGGAAGTCGCTACTATGTGGAGTCTGGGAAGACCAATTTCTGTCTCTGGCTGCCTTCCCCAAACCTCAAGCTGCAGTGGTGATAAAGCCCCAGCTTTTTTTGAGCTATTCTTGGGGAAGGGCTTAGCTAAAACCCCCTGGATACAATGATTTAAAAAATAAATGTGTTTTTGTTTTTGTTTTTTTAAAGTCAGCTCCATGCCCACCATGGGGCTTGAACTCACAACCCTGAGACTGAGAGTTGCATGCTCTACTGCCTGAGCCAGCCAGGCACCCCAAAAATAAGTGTTCTCTCGAAATTGTGGCATCATCAGAAGTTTACCACCTCCCACATTGTTTTACGTGTCCCACTTGGAGTTGTAGCCATCCCACTAATCCATAGTGGGCAAAAGGCAGAAAGGCCTGGGCACCGACCCCAGCTCTGCAGCTCACTAGCTGTGTGACCCTAGGCAAGTTCTTCATCTCTCGGAGCTTCAGTTTCCTCCTCTGGAAGAGATAATCATAGCATCTCCGTCAAAGGGCTGTTGTGAAGATTACACGAGACACAGACAGAGGGGCTTAGCTCAGGCAGGAAACACGTGCTCCATCGTGCAGCCAGCACCTCTTCAGGGTCTGCTGGGGGCCGAACCTTGGACTAAGCGGAAAGACAGCTAGAAAGAATCTGACAGACACCGGACTCATCCTTTGCTGTGGTGGACGTGCTACAGGCACTCAAACGTTCACCAGAGGAGAGAAGAGAAGGATTCCTGGAGGACAGGGCCTCTGAGCTGAATCACAAATAAGGACCCGGTTTGGACCGGGGAGTTGTGAAGAGGAGGGCATTCGTACAGGAAGCCAGCTGGTGGCGGAGGAAGAGGCAGGAAATGACGGGGTAGGGGCCCGTGTGGCTGGACTGGCTGAGAGGCATACGGGTGAGCCAGGTCGTGGAGGGCCTGTGTGTCAACCACAGAGTCATCACCATACAGGCAATGGAGGGGGAGGTTTAAGAAGAGTAAGGAGGGGGACGCTCAGTGGGTTAAGCATCTGCTTTTGGCTCAGGTCATGATCCCAGTGTCCTGGCATCGGGCCCCGCATAAGGCTCCCAGATCAGCAAGGAGTCTTCTTCTCCCTCCCCCCACCCCCCACCGCTCATGCTCTCCTGTGCTCTCTCTCTTTCTCAAATGAATAAATTAAAAAAAAAAAGAAGAAGAAGAAGAGTAAGGGGTTCCAGGGATGCCTGCGTGACTCAGTTGGTTAAGCACCAACACTTGATTTTGGTTCAGGTCATGATCTCAGTGTTGTGGGATCAAGCCCTGCATCGGGCTCCACGCCCTAGCCTAAGATTCTCTTTCTCCCTCTACCCCTCCCCCCATCTAGAAAGAAAGAAAAAGGGGTCAACAACAGCCCTTTGCGGCGAGCTTCCCGCCCACCACGTGACCCTCAGACTCCCTTCCTTCAGTTCCCCGGTGCTCCTGCCGGAAGGCTTCTGGAGACCCTCCTGCTCACAAAGCAAAAGACGTCTTTTCTCCCCATTAATTACAGGTTTTAAAAGAACGGAAATCACGGCCTTGAAATTTCTTTAAAAATGTTTAAATAACTTGGTATTATCTTCAGTGTTTAGAAACACGAAAAGCAGACGTGCACAATGGACCCTAAGTTTGCCTGTGCGTTTTCCCTCAGTTTCATAGGCTGCGATTGTACAGTTAACCATTTCAGTACCGGGTCGGAGGGGGCGCCTGGGGGGGCTCAGTGGGTTAAACGTCTGCCTTCAGCTCAGGTCACGATGCCAGGGTCCTGGGATGAGCCCCACGTCAGGCACCTTACTCAGTAGGGAGCCTGCTTCTCCCTCTGCCTGCCGCTCCCCCTGCTTGTGTGCTCTCTCTCTCTGTCAAATGAATCAATAAAATCTTTAAAAGAAAAATAAAATAAAGTCCCGGGACGGAGGCTGGCACGGCCTCGTCTGCAGCATGGCACAGCGCCTCTCCAGAAAGCAGGGAGCAGCACCTGCCCCTCGTTGGCCCCGGCGGCCGCTGCATCTCCTCGGTTGTCACGTTCCGGCAGGAAGCACCTAGGGCAGCTGGGCTTTTAGAAAGAAAAAGCATCCAGGAGGGGTTTGGGGGGTGAAGGGGGTTATCGTTCTGAGTTATTTTTATGTTATACTTATGTAAAGCATTTACCTGGGTCCAAAGTCTGATCTACAAAACAGGGCACTTGCAGAGTCCCCTAGCTCCCGTCCTCGTCCCTTGTGCCTCCTTTCCCTTCCTCCTTTCTCCATTACAATGAGGATTTTGATCCGTTCTTGGTCTTCCACTTTCCTAAATAAGTATGCCTATGTGTGTACACACACACTTGTTTACTATAAACACATAACGTCTGTTTACTGTAACAACAGATAAAAGGCAGCATGTGATCCACAACGTTCTAGAGCGGTGCCGATCAACAGAACCTTCGAGAGCATGGAAATATTCTAGCTCTGTGCCATCCACATGGTAGCCACTAGCCACCACTGTAGACTGAATACTTGAAATACAGCTAATGAGACAGAGGAACTGAATTTTTCATATTTCATTGTAATTCATATAGATTGAAATAGCCACAGACGGCTGATGGTGACTTCGTTGGCCGGTGCAGCTCTGGACACTTAGTCACAGGGAACAGAACAGGTCCTCGCTCCTTCCTTAGAGCTGCAGGGGACCCCACTCTGGAGACGGGTCAGTTGACTTCCCACTCTACTGAAGGACATTTCTGCTCCTCCCGTCTCTCCCCTTACTGCACGCATCTATTCATGTTTTTGCCAGCCTGTCTCTAGGACAGACACACAGATGTGAAGTTGCTGCGTCGATGGGTAAATACAACTGAAATGTTGCTGGATGTTGCCAAATTCCCCTCCACGGGTTCTATCATTTGCATCAGGATTTTTAAAAAGCCTGCATACCCAGGACGATTTGTGTGTGTGCGTGAGAGAACTGACCCCGCATCCATAAAGGACCCAGGATGATCCTGCAGCATCTCTGCTGTCTGACGGACGTCAGATGAAAAGAACGAAGGAATAATGGCAGACAGAGCAGAAGGTGGCTGCAGGGCGGAGGGGAGGGGGGTGGGAGTCACTGTGCAGTGGGGACAGAGCGGCAGTCTGGGAAGACGACACGGTTCTGAGGCAGATGGTGGCGATGGCTGCGTGATGTGACTACACTTAATGCCACTTCGTGGTAAAATGGTAAATTTGGTGTATTTTACCACAATTTAAAAAAAAGAAAGAAATGGCTGACAATTCCAAAATCCTTCACCTGACACATAAAATCAAAAGAAGAGATAAAAAGCAGCCAGACTGCCTGGTGGGGCACATCCTAAAATTGTGCATCAGATAATAGGCCTTCTAGGCCAGTGGTTCTCAACCAGGGGCAATTTCCTTCCTCAGGGGACATTTGGCAATTTCTTTATTTTTCTTTTAAGATTTTATTTATTTATTTGACAAAGAGAAAGGGAGAGCGTGCACGTACAAGCAGGGGGGAGTGGCAGGCAGAGGGAGAGGGAGAAGCAGACTCCCCGCTGAGCAGGGATCCCAGGACCCTGAGATCGCAACCTGAACCAGAGGCAGGCGCTTAACAGACTGAGCCACCTAGGCGCCCCTTGGCAATTTCTTTAAATTGTGGTAAAATATATGATAAATCTGCCATTCTCATTATTTTCAACGGCATTAATTACATTCACAACAGTGTGCGACCATCACCACCATCTGCTTCCAAAACTTTGTCATACCCCACATAGAAACTCTGTAACCTTTACGCATAGCTCCCTATCTCCCCTTGGGAGACTTTCAAATGTCCTGACTATTGGCAGGGGGGTGGTGCTTCTGGCATCTAGTGGGTGGAGGCCAGGGATGCTGCTCAGGGTCCAAGGCACAGGACAGCCCTCCAGGACAAAGAATCATCCGGTCCAAAATATCAACACTAGTGATGTTGAGGAAGCTCTGGGCTGACCGGGGCATCCGGAACAGGAACTGATCATGCCACACAGATCCTACTGTAACTCAGAGGAGCATTAAGCAAGATCAGGAGGGCCCTGGTTCTGATACATCCTCATGCACGCCAGGGGCCTCCAGCAGATTTCTCAGCAGCCACTCCTCCTGGCAGGACTCTTCGTCAATACAAGGACTGCTTCTACTAATGCTCAGGTTATCAAAAGGAGGCCCAAGGGTGCGTCACAGTTCAAGTGCCTCTTCGGAACATAGGCAGCTAGCTGGTGAGAACGATGCCTCTGAGGAGTGTGGAACCTCCTGGTAGAATGAGCTTTGCCCATGAACTCCCATTCAAAAACCAGAAATACCCCAAGGCCACCGCAGAAAGCCCCCACCAATCGAGGGCATGCAGCACTTCCAGGGAAGGTCTCTACTCCCGCCTGACTCGTGGGGGCCAGAGCCCAGCCACACACTGATTCATATGGCAACAGAGACAGGAGTGTAGGGAAAACAGGAGTAGGTGTGTCAGGGAAACAAATCCTGTTCCGTTCAAAACTATTCTAAAAATTCCTT